GCAGAAGCAGTAGAAACAGAGGAAAGAACTATATCAGAAACTTCATCAGTGATGGTGGAGAGAATCCAGCCCTGGAGGATGGCGTCGAGCTGAAACCATTCATCATCGTCGTCGGAGATGGGAGCAATAGAACCGTTGAGATAACCCCGAAGGTTGAACCGCCGTGCAAGAAGAAGGAACAAGCGGCTCCACTTTTTGTAGTTTGGTTGAGAAAAGCTGAGTTGGATTGGAACATGGAGTTTGACATTAGAGACGGAGAAAGCCAGATGTGGAGATTTTTGGGTGGAGGATTGAGAGGTGATTTCACTTTCGGCCATTGTAGGAGGGGGAGGAAGCTGCCGGCCGTGAAGAGAGGAGGAGGGAGACGGCGGCGCAAGTGGTGGTTCGGCGTAAGGGGAGGGCCGAAACTAGGGAAGATATTTTAGGGTTTTAGTTAGGCTCCGATACCATAAAGAAGTGGTATTTTCATTGATTAATTATGAGAGGAATACATGTATATATATACAAGGTCTCAATCCTAGTTATGTTAGGAGAGAGATTCTAGGAAACTATACAACTATGGAAACAAATCATAATACAATAATATTAAATATATTTAACATTCTAGAAGTGCATTTTGGTATTGAATTTCTAAAAAATTCATTTGATGTGATGGGTAAAAGTAGGGTTTGATGGGTAAATTTTTAGTAAAAAGGTATGATGTGATAGGTAAGTTATGGAAAAGTAAGGAGTAAAAGTAACTTTTTAATAGAAATAAGAAGTATTTTTTAAGACGGATGAAAAAAAGAAGAAAGAGGGAGGGATGGAGTATTATTTTAAACACGAGTGCATGAAAAAACACACTAGTGGGCAGTGGCCCTTTGTGTAATCCACACGTCAATTTGTCCTTCTATATACCACTGGGCTTGTTAATTAGCTACTCATCTTCGGATCCCTCGAGACCTGATTTCCATTATAAGAAAAATTATTCAACTTCGAGTGTTACGACATTTAAGTAACATCAACATATAATGAGTAAAGAATAAATGAATAATACAAAACACCAAAATGTAGGTCCGAAATAACATAGAGGAAGCCAGGGTCATGATAATGTGTTGCATTCATAATTTTGAAAATCGGACTCGACCAGCCTCGTAAAACCCATAATATCGTAAAACAACATCTACCCGTGGATGACACATTAATATATGCCACCCTTCTTGTAACTTGTAAGCTTCCAAAAACCTCAACACACGTTAAAATAATCACATCCCCATACTCCTATATATATTCACCAAAACTAAATGTCTTGTACAATAAGTTCTAGATGCACATTAATTCCTTCAAAACCTAACCTTCGACACAAATAATATTTTCAAAAAAGACTAACATTCAAACATAACATTCAAACAAAACACAAGAGACGAATCTACATGTAAACAAATATGAAATCAAACCTAAAACCAAAACATATTTGAACAAATTACGTTGAAGGTAAAGAAATCAAACCTTAAAAACAGAGGAGACACTCCCCACTTGTAATCATCCACGTTCTTCGTGTGTTTTGTGGGACGGATGGAGTATATAAGTTTCATTTTTATTCTTATATTAATTTTTAAATAAAATGATTTAAAACACATGATTTTGTCTCATAATTCTAAAATTAGATTCAGATTTGAGACGAATGGGGTAATTAGCCAGCCACAATATGGGAGTTCGAGAGTGTAGTGTGGGTAGGGCTGTAAACGGATAACCGAAAATTCGATTACCGTCCGCATCCGTATCCGTTTATATGGAAAATATCCGCATCCGTTAAAAGCGGTTATTATCCGTATCCGATTAAGGATATTCGATTGCTAAACGGATACGGATTTGGTAATCATACATCCGATCCGTTTATAATCCGCTCCGCATTGACATCCGTTTAAATACCCGTTTATCCGTATATCCGATCCGTTATATATAGTCTTTCCTAATTTTTTATTTTTACATTTTGTTTCTCTATAGATATCTCAAAGTATAAGACATTTTTATATGCAAAATATATGTGTAAACACATAAAAGTATGTGTATATATGTATTGTGTATATCATTTTATGATATGAAGTTATCGTAGAATATCATAAACTATAAAAAATAAGAAAATTAATATCCCATAAAAATTATAGTTGATTTAATAATATTTTAATTTAGTTTAATTGAAAATTCAAGTATTGTTTAATTTAGTTTTAAAAATTGGAAACGGATACGGATATATCCGATATCCGACCGATATCCGACGGATGCGGATACGGTTTTGATTTTTCAATATCCGTCTAGATCCGTATCCGAATTCGATATCCGACAAAAATAAACGGATGCGGATTTGGTAATGGCACATCCGATCCGATTAAAATCCGTTTACACCCCTAAGTGTGGGTAGCTTTTGGAAAAAAAATTATTTAAAAGTGAATACCTTTTTTTAAAAGGAAAAAAATGCTTCATTTGTCCGGGCTGGTTTTTTAAATAGGTATAGAGTATTTTAAGGCAAGTGGAAAGTGGAAAGAGCAAACTAACGAAGAGATGAGACAAAAAGGGACACTCTTTTATTTTTTCCAAACTTTATTATTATAATTAGATATAGGTCATGCCCTAACAAAAAGTTAAGCAAATCCCAACATAGGTCACCAACCATTCCTTAAAAGCCTTATAATACTACCAACTATCAAATCAAACCCCAAGAGTCAAAAAAAAAATAATAAAAAAATAAATCAGAAGAAATATGAGAAAAAAGTAAAATTTGGGGCACTAAATATGATTAAAACATAAATCATTTCTCAATGTAGGACTTAAACTTTTTTATTCCCTAAATAGTATTTCCTCCGTTTGGAAAAACCCTTCCCATTTTGATTTGAGGCAAAAATAAAGAAGTGTTAAATTATAGTTGATTTCCAATTTTTGCCTTGATGTGATGTGTAAAAGTAAGACGTGATGTATAGATTATTAGAGAAAAAGTATGATGTGATAGGTAAGATATGAAAAAGTAAGAGTAAAAGTGGTTTTTTAATAGAAAAGGGAAGTGTTTTGTTGGAAGTGGAAAAAATGAAAGAGGATGTGTTTTTGAGAACGAAGGGAGTATTTAATAATGTCTAGTGAGAGAAATAATATCCAGTGAAGTTGGACATTTAGTTGAATAATGACTACTGGATAATAGCCAATGGTCCTACATTGAGAAATAAAAACATATAGTCCTATACTGAGAAAGGTATTATGTTTTAGTCCTATTTAGGTAAATTACCCCAAAAAAACTCGATCCCTCCCTCTTGAATCTTCCCATCAGGCTTTTCCACGATTCCAATGGAGTTCTTTGATAATCAATATTTTTATTTATAGATATATATATTATAAAAAAGTAATTTTATAAATTTATTATTCTAAATGAACGTATTGGTAATTAATTTTTATCACGAATCAAATTATTTTTTCTCGTAATTTATAGCCAAATTTTTTTTAAAAAATTGACCTTCAACGTAGAGTATTCCGTTCACCCCTTTTAGTGGAATATAAGAAATACAATGCGAGGAAAATAAAAACTCCTAGCTACAAAAATTCATTGTTTGATTTTTCAAATATTCAAGAAAGATGTTTAAATAGAACTTTTAAAAATGAATTTTAAATAAATAAAAAGAGGAATTTATTAACTTAGATTTATATATTTTAGGAAAAACTTATGCAAATACTCTCCCAAAAATAATGTACTCCCTCCGTCCTAAAATTTTCTTCCCGTTGCGCAAAACGAAGAAAAATCCCAAGTTTTTTCAATCTATTTTATTTAAATATTGGCATAGAAATAAAAAATAAAACATACATATTTAAAAACTACATAAAAAATTCAACAAAACAAGTGGTGACAAGAATATTTTATTTAATCATATAAGCCATGAAAAAAACACAAATAAATATAAATTCCGGTGAAGTTGGAATAGTGCTCTGGGAAGAAAGTTTTAGTACGGAGGGAGTAAATATTTTTAGGAGAAAAAAAGAAGAGTGGGCCCACCACCCAAAGAGGATATGTACAGCCAAGAACAGCTGGAGAGAGTGATGAGAGTGTAGGGAGAGTGAGAGACCCGTTTTGTAAATGTGGGTCTCAAAATGGACTCTTTTTTCTCTCTACTGCGAAACACTTAACAGAAGCATGTGGATCCAATAATTGGTCCAATAAAATCCAACTTTGGCACTATTCATCATCACCCTTTTCTTGCCCAATCAAAAATTTCCTACTTTATATATTCTCACTTTATCGAAATTAGGATGATCCCATTTCTTAAACAAACAATTCCTCGGTCTAAAATATAGATAAACTATCAAGTATCAAAATAAGAGTTTAATATTTGTGTCTCAGAATGAGAGCTCATATTGTGGTAATATGACATTGTATATGGTCATTTCATGCTCCCTCCGTCCCACAAAATCATTCCCCTTTCTTTTTTTTCATCCGTCACAAAAAACATTTCTCTTTTCCTATTAAAAAGTCACTTTTACCCCTATTAATTCTTAACTTACCTATCACATCACATCTTTTCTCTATTAATCAAACCAACTCATCCTACTTTATCCATCACATTAAAGGGCATTTTTGGAAAGTCAACACCAAAATACACTTCTCTTAAATCCTTTAAAAGTAAAATGAGAAGTTTTTTAAGGTACGGAGGGAGTTTTATTTTTTTCGTAATGTATATGGTCATTAACACTGTAAATGCATTTTAATTTTTTCAGGAATAAAAGCATGGAACTCTAGCAAAAAAAACATGGAACTCATATTTTGTTATATTTTCAATGTGTTACTCCACTTCAATCTTTTTCCCATTTTAGAGTCCCTCAAAAGCGGTCAAACAGTCATTTGAGAAGAGATAAATTGAAATTTAACCACACAGGAACAAAAGATTAGGGCCAACCTCGGGAATAAGATGGCTCTGAAATAGATGAAAAATGAGCTTTAGCCTTAACAAATTAAATTATATGAATTGAATTATTTTCTTTAAAATAATAATTAATATTATATCTCATGGAAAAAGTCTTTCTACTTTTGGGTAGGGCAAGTTCTGCGTATACACTTTTTTCAGACCCTATTCTCGTGAGATCTAATGGGTTGTTGTTATTTTTGCTATAAATAATATTCCATTCATCCCAGATTTGATTACAAAATGAAATTCACAAGGTAAAAACCCATATCTTTTGTAATTGTTTAATTTAAAAATTGTTACATCAATAAAAATAAAAATTATATATTAAAAAATTACGTCATTAGTTCTACAAAATAAAAGATAATAATAATATTTTATTTTATTAAATTGTCAATAAATACATACAAATAAACAAAAAATATAAAAAAGATAGAGAATATAAGATTGTAATCAAAATTAAGACAAAAAAAATTTATACTAATGCATATAGAGAAAAACATTAGAATGTAAAGTAAGGGATGAATTGAAGTAAGATTGTATAGTAGTTGAGATTTATGGTACGAACTAAGATCGTATGGTAGCAGTTGAGATTTACCCAGTATATAGAAGAAGAATTGATTGAATTAGGTACGAATATTATTCATTCTCTTTTTTTTTTTTGAACAAAAGCACAACTTTATTCACCTCAAACGCACTTCATCAGTACATCAACAGATTGAAAATAAAACCACCAACACAAACAAAAGTTTAACACAAATACATTCTCCTAAGCTTAAAATTAATAAAGAATTTCATATGAGTTTTGATCCACTCCTTGTTTTCCCCAGCTGCAACACTTCTCTCTTGATGGATCTTGAGATTTCGTGCTCTCCAAACTGCATAGCAGATAGTAACAAAACCAGCCATAATAATCTGTCTCCTCCTCCTCCCTTTAACTCTTTTGAATTCTTCTTGCAGTTTCCCATCACTGACGGCCTTCCATCTGAACTTTAACCAGTGGCCAATATCATCCATTATTTCTCTAGTATAATCACATTTGTAGAACGGGTGTTCTTTATCTTCATCCCCCTTGTGGCATAACACACAGACAGTGTCTATTTCCATGAATCTCTTCAGCCTTACCTTAGTATTGATTCTATTTCTCCAAGCAAGCCACATCAGAAATTGGTGTTTAGTATTGTCAGTTTATTCCAGACAATGGGATATGCTTGAAAATCTGTGCCTCCACCCTGTAGCCAATCATACCCTTTCTGAACTTCATAGCTCTCTAGATTACTCATCCCAGCAAACATATCTCTATTGAGTAAGAGTTTCCTCAAATAGAAACACATTCCAGATTTGGGTGAGATGTCCCATATGGAATCTCTTTTAAGATATTTGTTATGGATCCATTTGACCTAGAGGATGTCTTTCTTTTGGGCTATGTCCCACAGGAGCCCCTGGCCACATGCTTTATTCCAGTTCACCAAGTTCTTGATCCCCAGACCTCCTTCTTTCTTAGGTTTACAAACATCTTCCCAGGCTACTGATGGGACTTTTCCATAGTCAGCTTTTGAGCTCCAAAGGAAGTTTCTACAAATACTCTGGATTTTTTTCATTACCATTGTAGGGATAATGAAAAGTCTGCACCAGAAGGAAATAATCTCCATCAGTACTGAATTAATCAGTCTGCATCTTCCTGCATAAGATAGGTGTTTAGTTGCCCAAACTGTTATTTGTGTTGTTAGCTTTTGGACCAGAGCTTCACAATCCCTTTCTGAAATTCTGCTTGCTGTAATAGGTCCCCCAAGATATTTAAATGGGAGTTTACCTCTGCTCATTTTAGCCTCCTTCAACAATTCCTCAGCCTCATGGTCATTCACCCCTCCCAGAACCATCTGAGATTTAGAATAGTTTACTTCCAGGCCAGTTACTGATTTAAAATGGGCAAGACAATGAAATATTATTCATTCTCCCTCCCAAAAAAGTGTTAATTCTATTCTTGGATTGTCCTAAAAATATTTTTTCTATTTTACGAAAATTTGTTACTCCGTATTAGTTATAAATTTTCTTTCTCCTCTGTATCACTTTAAATCACTTATTATTTTTTGTTTTTCTCAAATTTTGTGACAAGTCGAATTAATTTTTTTGGGACTTAAGGAGAAGTAGGTATTCTACAAGAACATCTAGAGTACATAAATAAGGAAAATGCTAGAGTTACAAACATAATACTACGTATTTACAAAATAAATTTAATTTTTGTGTCTTTTCAATTTAATATCATTTATTATTTTTATCTATTTTCGTTATTCATGATAAAATAATATAGTTACTTCATCTCTTATTTTGTAAATTTTTTGATCTAATTTATAAATATGTAATACAAATAATGAATGATATTAGACTCTAGAAATAGTGAACCGACAATTTATATTGAAAATGAATGGGTATTGTTTTAGGAGTTTTTCTTTGTTGTCTTTGCAATTGATAAGACATCCATGCCCCTCCATTCACTAATTTTTTTAATCGAACTGGAGAGGTAACAACCTCAGAACCTCAAGAAAGGTTCCTCACTGTATAGTACCCCAGCTTATCCTCCTCTAGCAATTGACGTGCACCATTCGGTGGGAACTCTAACTCTCTCCAAATCAACGCTCTGTTTTTTCCCATTCTGGCAAGTAAGTCTGCGACTTTATTCTGACCCCTTAGAATATGACAGATGGTAACATTCCAATCTCTTCCCATCCAACTCTG